TGTGTGTAAATAACAATACAAAATCAATTTTTCATCAATTTTTTCATCACCGCAGTTTTCATCAAATTTCATCACTCCATTTCGCTGCTCGACTCTTGATTCTGTGTGATTTCAACAACTTTGAAGCACAATGCTTGAAAAAGCAACGTACGTACTGAAAAGGCCGCCTGTGGTGAGCGCCACAAAGGCCTGCCGACGCTCTGCCTATGCAGACGGTGCTGCCCTGGGAGCATGCTCACGCCCCTGGGTTCCGCTGGACACCCTGAGCAACGGAAACTCAGCGAGACATGTCGCCATCGCACCGATTTGGCATAGTGAGGTCAGCGCCCTCAGGCAGCATTCACAGCCTTCATTTTCCCAGCGTGCATATTCACCAACGCCTGCGTCTCCACCGTAACCTTCTTCACCAACGTGTCGAGCATTTGAGACATTGAGCCGCACTGAGTCGTGATCTGGTCCTCGTCGTAGGTCGTCTTCAGCTCGCCGACGCTCATGGTCAAGAATGTCTTCGTGAAGGTGTTGCCCGCTACTGCCCTCTCAGGCGCAGTGATTGCACTAGTCAGGTCGTTCTGGGCAACCTCGTTGTTAGCCCATCCCCATTCAGCCGTCGATTTGATCACAGCCTGCAGTGTCTGCGCCCCTGATACAGCTGACTTGTAGTTGGCCTTGGTCTTGTTGGCGAGGGCCATCGGGGTGCTCTGCTTCTTGCCCACGCCCGGCTGGTCGCTCACCTCTGCCGCCCTCTTCGTCGCAGCCTTTGCCCTGGCCTTGGCCTTGGATTTTGCCTTTGCCTTGGGCTCTGGCAGGCTTCCCGCAGCAGCTGCAGCGGTAGCAGCAGCAGCTGCGCCGACAGCGGGAGTGCCCCTGGCGGGCTGATCCGAGAGCGCCTCTGAACCGCCCTGTCTTGAGAGCCTCTGCTGCCTCAACCTCCATGCCCTCGCGAAGATCTCAGAGTGGCTCTTCTCCATCACCATCGCATTCCACCCTTCCCACATGTCGTCGAACTCGACCCAAGGCGCCCCCAAGACAGCACACTTAGCCACGTACTTGGCGGTGTCCTCTGGGCCCTCCTTCTTCAGCAAGTCCCTGATGCTAATCATCTTGCCCTTGCTCTTGTCCACGTAGGTGAGGCTCTCCTCCTTCTCCATGGTGTCGATCATCTCGGTGAACTTATTGCGGGCCCAGTTTTTTCTGAAGGCATCCTTCTCAGGGTTGGTTCCCTTGTAGTTTGGGTCTTTCCCACCCTTCGGGTCCCATCGGGTCCCATCGGGTCTCTCCCACCCTGCGGGCCCCGGTCAGGGCTGGCGACGCGGGGCTTGATGGCGGCAACCAACGCCTCAGACTCACCGTCCCATGAAGCCGCACGGCCTGACATGGCTGCTCTGGAACCCCTGGAAGAGCAACGAGCCTCGAAGCCGAAACTTGCTACAGTTGAATGAATGACTTGCGTTTCCAAGGCCTGCAAACAACCGTAGCTGGACTGCAGAGATGACTACACACCACCATAGAGAAATCGTGATGACTGCAACGTGACTACACACCACCAGAGAGAAGCGATGAGCAACCCAAGCTGGACTGTAGTGATGACTACATGCCAACTGCGATGTCTCAACACAAGACAACAGCCATAGCAAAACACCGTGGGTAATGAAATGCATGATATGGTGTGACATGGGATGCATAGTTTTGCAGTCGTATGTTACGATAATTTACGATAGTGTGTGTGTTGGATATATTAAAAGCGTTACAATTCTTAAAGTTAGATCTACTTCTATAATTAAGAGTTGGTAAGACAACTCTTAATATCTAGACGAGAGGTGCCCCAGGGAGGGGCTCCGAGCATGCGGCAGCGGCAAGCTCAGCGCGCTTTTCCTTCTCACCTTCCGGCTCAGCATCGGCGTCTCCGCGAGCATCAGCGTCTCTGCGATCGACACCCTCGCCCGGGTGTCAGAACCGATTGAGATGCTCGAGGTTGTGGTCGTATGGGAGAGCGCCCCAGTCGCGGACGATGCTGTCGTGGACGATGGCATCAGATGGCACACGTTGTTCCTGAGACGTCAACGGTACGTCTCGAGCGACGCCATCGCCATGCCGTGGCGCGCATGGCGCAAGGCCCCGATTGGGCGACCTGCTTTCCCTATCCATAGGACAGTTGGGGCGGTGCTGCTGGTACTCGAAGCGCGCGCAGATGCGGTGCCTGGAGCGGTGGCCGATGCGGCGCCGCTCAGTGTCTCGCACTTCTGCGCGCTCGCGAGCGCGGCGACCCCCGAACCCCGAATGATCTTGCCGGAGTCATCGCGTTCGAGGATGTTCGAGGTTCCTCATGGAGCGCCAAAGGCGCATTGCCTCTTCGGCGCGCCCGCGTGCCATCCGATAGTCCATGTCTCCCTGGGGCAATGGTCGCGGGCGCCAGGCTGGCGGGCCACCCCAGTCGCGCAGCGCCCCAACTTGGCCGCGCGATCGAGCGCGCGGGGCGCGAAAGGCCATGAATGAACCGACGCTGGAGCGGCCCCATCCAACGCCAATCACATCATAAGCTGTCACATTAAATGGTTCGGAGGTGCGCTGCCTGAGAGCGCGCCCACGCAGCGCATTGGCCATGGGCGTCGTGAGTGTGTTCCCGCGCGTTTCGATCGCAGCGCCCATGTCGGCCGGCGCAGGCGTGGCCCCGCGCGCCCGGTCATCTGGCCAAGGTAGTTCCAGCGCAACTTAGCTCTTCATCGGTGGCGGAAATCGTCTCTATCTCCGAAACATCGCCGTCGCAAGCCCGCATCGCGCCATCGAAGTCATTGGTCGGAAGTCGATGCCGAGATCCGTCCGAGCACGGGCCGCGGCGTCGCGCGCGAACATGATGCGCGCGAGGAACGACAGCGACTGCGCCCCCCGCAGAAGGAAGACCGGGCGCGGGAAAATCGACGAACTCAACGTCTTCCGCGCTTTCTTGAGCCGCCACAAGGGCAGCGGCATCGCCCTTCTCCTTTCCCTTCGCGCACTGATTCTGAGCGTGGCAGTCACTGCCGCGCCCGCTGCGTAGCACCCTCCTCCCAGAGCGGTCCACGGCGTTCAGTTGTCGGCCCTGCCCCTTGCCAGTAGGACGGACGGCATCGACCCGACCTTTCCCCGGGGGGATTTCGACGCCCTGGAAATTGCAAAACCACGACCACGTAGCCGTCGGTTGCGGTGCCCGCCCTTGCCACGCACAGTGCCCTGTCTGTGAAAGACCGCCCTGGTTGCTCTACGGACCCGTTGGATAAGCATTGGGAAGAACCGTTTCCACCGACGCCTCGCGCGCGGATCACCCAATAATGAATATTCAGCGGCCTCCGCGTCTCCAGGTCCGTGGGGCATGTCTGTCATGTCTAAGCGTTCAACTCCGTCCGAAGATGCGGCGTCGGCATCGGCCCCAGAATCGAAAGGCGAGTTTCCGCGGGGGGGCTGAGCCCCACGGGGCGGACTGACTGTCCGATGCATTGTAGGCGGTAGGGCACTGGTGGCATTCAGCCACGCATGAACTTCTCGAGCCAACTCGAGGAATGATGCGTTTTCCGCGGGGTCCCAGTGAGGGCCCCTGGTGGTGTTATCACCTTCGTCGTTGTGGTTACCACGATGCATGCAACCAGTGGCACAGCCGATGCGTAGATAAGAAGCTGGAGGTCGTGCTTCCATGTTGGGTCGTAGCTGGCGTTGGGACTTGTCTTGGGTGTATCTGTCGCCGTGAGCCAGCGAATCGGTTTTGGAAGCATATCCGCCTGCTGATGTAAGGATAACAGTGAAGCGCTCCTGCGCCAGGGTAGTTTGTATAGTAGCTTGTTCCCAAGTGCATCATAAGTCGGAGTGGAATGGCGTACAAACGTGACGTACACGCTGTTGGTGGTAGTCAGACGGGCGTCACATGTAGGGAAACTAACGTTCCCGAGTTTGGCGTCACCGCCTGCTAGTCGGTAGTCACGTTCTGATATCGTAGTGGTATTAGCAGTATACCATGCCGTGCCGTGGGGTCGGAATATGAGAGACAGAGCAGACCACACGCGAGTGAGGCCAGCTCCACTACCAAACACAAACTGAGGTAGACATCGTGATTTGAAGTCATGGTGGTAAAAAATAGATAGGAGGCATCATCCATGATTCTGAGTTTGATTAGCGGATCGATAGCTGCGCTTACGATCCGGCCAAACAGAGCGCTGGCCGCTTGAGCAACAAACAGCGGCGCGGACGCTCGCTACGCTCGCTTGCATGTTACTCAGCCCTTATACCTCCGTTCAGAGTCCCAGCGGCCTTTTTGTTTCAAACAGGAATGACAAAAACTTAATGAACCTCCACGAGATTGGTTTCTTGGGTATCTTAAAGGTCGACGAGGGCAGCAAGACGGCTATCGAGGGTACCAAAATGACCCTCTATGGCTCCCAAGCGGGCCACGATACCCCGTTGGGCTCCAAGAGGGCCCCCAAATGTAAACACACTGATGTTTTACTGGCCTTTCAAATATTTGTTTCCGCGCTGGTATTTTCTAACTTCCGACGCCCCAAAACGGCCCCAGAAGCCTCCAATATGGCCCCGAGCTGGCCCAAGAGGGTCCCAAGACGACCCAAGAGGGCACGAAGGTGGCCCAAAGCATCCAATACGGGCCCAAGACGGCCCAATAGACCCCCAAGAGTGCCCTTGAGGGCCTCAAGACTGCCAAGAGAGGTCCCCAAGGCGCCTTCGACGGCCGAAAACGGCACGAAACGCCCCCAAGCGGCCACAAAAGGCCTCCAAGAGGCCCTTAAAGAAGACCCCAAGAGGCCCCCGAGAAGCCCCCCAAAAATTCACAATGGGCCGGCCCCGAACGCCCATGCTCTACGATGTCCGGACGCGCACCCCACGAAGCGAGAGGATGCACTTCAGAAGCCCCCGAGAGGTCTTCCACGAGACCCCACGGGGTCTTCCAAGACTCAGGCGCAGTGGCGGGGTGGGGGGCCGAAGGCCACTTGATATTTTGCCATCCCAGGGCGGCGGCCCGCCTTGGCCGTGGCGACTGGCACCTCCACCGTCGCAGACGCCATCCTCGTCGGTGGCCAATTCTCCCTCTCTCTCCCACACGATTCTCTCAATATAAGCATATGTTTAGACATCTGTATATATCTATATGATATATATATATATGTACTAGAACCACGCGCGCTTCGCGCGCGCTTAGGCTCTTGCGCAGATTTAACGATTGCAAATGTGAGCTCGGAGAAGAAAGTAGCAGGCGGATCGGCTGGAGCATCATAGTTATCAACTGCACGGGGCTCCTGGCCGTCCTCCGTCCTCGCCCCCTTCCTCCTCCTCCTCCTCTTCCTCCTCCTCCTGCTCCTCCTCCTCCTCCTGCTCCTCTTCCTCCACCTCCTCCTTCGGACCCTCCTCCCTCCTCCTCCTCCTCCTCCTCCCTCCTCTCCTCCTCGGACCCTCCTCCTCCTCCTCCTCCTCCTCCTCCTCCTCATCATCATCATCATCATCATCATCATCATCATCATCATCATCATCCACCACCATCATCATCAACACCATCATTACCATCATCATCATCATCATCATCATCATCATCATCATCATCATCATCATCATCATCATCATCATCATCATCATCATCATCATCATCATCGCCATCGTCATCGTCATCATCACCATCACCATCATCATCATCATCATCATCATCACCATCACCATCATCATCACCATCACCATCACCATCACCATCACCATCACCATGATGATGATCATCATCATCATCATCATCATCATCATCATCATCATCATCATCATCATCATCATCATCATCATCATCTTCCCCCTCCTCCTCCTCCTCCTCCTCCTCCTCCTCCTCATCCTGCTCCTTCTCCCCCTCTTCCTCTTCCTCCTCTCTTCCTGATCCAGACCTTCCTCCTCATACAGCCTGTTCTGGAAGGCTCTCGCCGGAACGCGCTGTGCACAACTGCTGGGTTCATCTTTCATTATGCGTGTAGGACTGACGACAAGCCTTGTCGACCGATACCGATCCCGACACCCTTTCCCTGGGCCGTCTTGGGGCCTTCTTGGGCCGTCTTGGCCGTGGGGGGGCCTTGGGGTCTTGGAGGCCTTCTGGGACCTCTGGCGGGCCTCTTGTGGCCGTCTGGGAGCCTGTCGGGGGCGGAAGTCTCTGGCGCCCCTCTGGGGGCCGTCTTGGAGCCGTGTCAGGCCGTCGTGGGGCCGTCTTGGGAGCGTCTTGAGCCGTCTGGGCGAGGTCCCAGGGGCCGCGTGGGCCGTGTCGACACGCCGGAAAGCCCCCGTTGAAGGCGAAAACGCTAAACGCTAAAAACACGGAAGAAAACCATGGACAATGAATTTTGTCTTGCTTGGTGGAGCCCTCTTGGGAACAGGAACGGGCTTGGAGCGTTCTCGGAGCGTCTGGGAGGCTTCTGCGGCCGTCGTCGAACCACTCTGGGGCCGCCCTGTTGGGGCGTCATGGTGCTTCTTGGGATCCTCCTTGCCCGTTCTGGGGCTGGCCGGGACCGTCACCAAGGCTTGCCGTCGCTCGGACGTCCATTTCCCGTGCATTCTTCGGTTTCGTGCGTGTTTTTTTTTTGCTCGATGGTCCAGGATGGTCCTCGTTGGTTCTCGCCGGAAAAAAAATGCACATGTCCGAGCGATGCCAAGCAGGGGCCTTGAGAGCAGTCTGGGGGCCCGGTCCGCCCATGGAGGGGCGGGGCAGCTGTTCTGGGGGCCAGGAGCCTCGCGTCGGCAAGCCGAAATAGCGGGATCCCCCCAAACATCGAAAACCCTACAGTCGGGGCGTTGACCTAAGGAACCCTAAATAAGGAACGAGGCCCATTTTTCCCATAAGCTCAACCTCGATTTCCTATGGAAAACCTCAGGAAAACCCGAGGCAAACTTTGAAACAATCAAGGAACACCGAGCCCCTCCCCAGCGAAAAGGGTTCCTTCTTCAGGGCCCCGACTGTAGGGAAATCAATCATTCGTGTTTCTTCTGGCCGTGCTGGGGGCCGTCTGGGAACCCTCTCGCAGCGTCTGGGGCGCGGTTTGGGCCGCCTGGGAGCCTTCGTGGAGCGCCTCCGGGGAGTGAAGGGCCGTCTGGAGACGACCGCGGACGTCTGGAACAAACTTTCCGGCGGCTGGGGCGCGACTCAGTGCCCTGTTGGGTTGTCCTGGATGTGTCTTGAAGCGGCTTTGGGGCCTCTTGGATGCGCTGAGCGCCCCTGTGAGTAGCCCATGAAACCGTCTTGAAGCGGGCGGTGGTGCTTCCAGGGCTCGTCAGGAGGTTCGGCAAGCCGAAGAAGCAGAAGCCTCCCCAAACACCAAAAACCGATGGGAAGCACCTGACGTTTGTCTCTGGGGGCCCCCTTGGGGGCCGTCTGGGCACCCTCTTGGAGCGTCCAGGAAGCGTTTTGGGCCGTCTGGACGCCTTCGTGAAGCGCCTTGGCGGCGTGGTGGGCCGTCTGGAGACAACCACGACCGTGTAGGAGGACTTTCCCGCGACTCGGAAGCGACTCGGGGCTCTCGGAGCGCCTCTGGAGCACCTCTGGGCCCCCTCGTCCTCCCAGGACGTGGCCCCCTTGCTCAGGGCCCCCCTGCCTGGGGCCCCCAGGCCTCGTAGACGGGTATACATACATACATACACATACATACACACATACACACATACATACATACGTACATACATACGTACGTACAAACGTACATACATACATACATGCATGCATACATACATACATACATACATACATGCATGCCTGCATACATGCATACACACATACATACACACATACATACATACATACATACATACAGACATTCATACATACATGCATACATACATACAGACAGACAGACATGCATGCATGCATACATATATACATGCATACACACATGCATACATATATACCTACATACATGCATACAAGCATACCTACCTACCTACATACATACACACATGCACACCTACACACATACCTACCTGCATACATACACACATACATACGTGCATACACACATACATAACACACCATGTCATGACATACCATAACACAACATCACATCACATAACACAGCATAACATACCATACCCTACCATCGTATAACATAACATACCATATATTACAATGGCGTTGCACACCATAACATAACATACCATAACATATCGTACATACATACGTCCATCCATACATACATACAGGCAGGCAGGCAGACACGCACGCACATACACACATACATACATGCATACATCCATGCATGCATACATAAATAAATGCATGCATGCATACACAAACACATACGCACATACAAACATGTTTACACACACATACATACATGCATGCATGCATGCATGCGTGCATGCCTGCATACAAACATACACACACTACGCACGTACACGCTCATCCACACATACACAACAACGCACACACATACATATACACATACACACGTGCATGCATGAATGCATGCATACATACATAAATACAGGTATACCCACACAAACATACATACATACATGCATGCATGCATGCACACACAGACATACGCACGTGCACACCTACATACATGCATACATGCACACAATCATACTTACATACACATACATACATACATACATACATGCATACATGCATGTATGCGTACATGTACTCACCCATCCACAAATACATACACACATGCATGCATGCATGCATACATACATGCGTACACACAGACACACAGACACACGCATATATATATATATATATATATATATATACATACATGTGTATATATATGCATATATCCCTCTCCGTCTTTTCTGCTCTTTCTTTCCTTCCTCTCCACCGCCGCCGCCTCCGCCGCCTCCTCCTGATCCTTTTCCCCCGTCCCCCTGCCCCTCCCTTCTCACCCTCCTCCTCCTCCCTTTCCTTCCCTGTCTTCTTCGTCTCTGGCCCCTCCGCCGCGCCCACCTCGACCTCCCCGTCGTCATCGTCCTCCTCCTCGAGGTGGCGCTCGTCGCCCACATGGCCTGGCGACCCTTGTATGGAGAAGGTCTGCCAACCAAATGCTACTGTTGGTCGCTGGCGGGGTGCTCAAGAGCGTGAGGTAGGGGCCGCGACCCTGATGGCGGATGGTGCTGCTGCTCGCGAGGCGTGGGTTGGCTGAGGCTGGCACAAAACCGTTGCATCCTCCATCTACCGATCTGTTAGCAGCGTTGTTGCGCATGCCTGCCAAGGGCGCTTCTGTCGTTTTGCTCAAAAAACGACCCCGAGTCCACCGTAGCCGCGGCAGTCTCCGAACTGGAGTTGGGGTCCTCTTTGGGTTGAGCTCGCTGTTCTCATGATCGGCACTAACCTGCGATTACTCAACATGTGGCTGAGGGAAACAATTAAGCCACACACACCCTCCCCCAATTCAATTCAAAGTTAGCACGTTTACGCATCACTGGTCCGACACTCGAACTCGGAAGATCCGAACCCAACATTGCATTCGCCGGGAGGGGGGGGGATTTCAAACCACATGTTACGCGTGAGTATTACGTAACTGTTTCCGACACCAGTACTTCTGCATCCACGACTTCCCCTGCACAGCGCAGATATCGACACTGGTTCCACCAGTCGCATGCGGGTTGGCGACCGGCGCAGCATCAGCTTGCGTCGCACTCGCGCTGCGGGTAGCTCGCAATCAAGATTACTCACGGTCAACCCGTAGAATAAGGACGCACGATCAGGACGTCATGGCCTTGGAAGGCCACGTCGACACCTTGTGAGCGGGGCACGGCCAGCGGAAACGGCCAATGATGGGCTGAAGGGAAAGGATGCGCAAGGGTAACCTTGGAAAGTCGCTCATCCTTACTATATCTTACTATGCAGGTTGACTTGAACTCGTTTCGCGCGTGCCTCGCAGTGCCCCCCCGCGGCACTGCTTCGCCCACTCGCCTGTTTCGTTGCCCTGGGTGCTGATGACTTCTGTGGTCGGTTCACGCTGCCCTAACTTTTGAAAAGTGAAGCGCCTGCGCCATTCAGGTTCAGGTGGTCGATGGCCGCGAGGCATCTTTCTACAAACAACAGC